ACAGGCTTGCTGGGGGGGGGAAAAAGAACACACACATACCAGATTTTTAGTTTGACACCGGTAAAAAGGCCGTAAGCATTTAGTGAATGAATAGCCTATAAAATTTTAAAGGAACAACATAACAAATGCATTTGCTAGACATATTTACCCAAATGGTAAGTATGTTAAAAGACAGATATTTCTGAGAGAAACTATTTCTGTCTTAAGAATGAGGACCTTAGAAAAAAAAGGTGTGGTGTTCAACTATTGTCACAAAGATACTAGTGGGATAGTGTTTATGATATTCCCCCAGAGTAATTGAACAGCATGCTTTTTAGTCCTCATGTCTGGAGTAGTTTCAAACTTTTTACTGTCCTATAAGTAGTGTAAATAAATGAACTGTCATGAGGTAGCATACTACAAAGGAAAAATAAAAGCTACAAAGCGCATAGCTCTTCATCCCAACCCCAAATTTTAGATTCCCTCTCAAGCTTTCAGATATTCTGAAATTAGTAGAACCAATTTACAAGAGACTGTGCTGAGATATGTAAACCACATGCAATAAAGTCTATGGAGATTCTCAATCATCCAGGTCATGGTTGTCCCAAAGGTACTTTTCAAAAGGCAACTTGTTTTTTTCTTTTTAAGTGTTTTGCTTCTCATCCAAGAAGCTTCTTCAGTTCTGAATTGAAGAAGCTTTCTTGGATGAGAAGCAAAATGTTTTCAAAGAAAAAAAAAACCCAAGAAAGTCCAGTTGCCTTTTGGAAAAAAGAACCTTTGGGACACATGCAATAAAAGCTTGATGAAGATCAACTCCCAATTACTGAAAAATTCTCAGCACACAGCTTTACATCAGAAACCTCTATTTTTCTAATTTGTATAATCTTAGCAATACCTGCAGGTTTTTTCTTAATATGGCAATTTTCAGCTAGCTAATTCTCAAAGCAATTTTCTAGCTGGAAGACAACGAAAATCTTTTAGCAGTGTCTTAGTGAATCACTACTGGATATAATTATATTAGCCTGAATAAAAGCTCACCATATGTTTACAAGTTGACTTACAATCAAATTAGCAACTGTTTACAATATGAATAAGTACTGAGAAGAGCTGGGTTTATTGTACTGATAAACTAGTACTTACCTTTAATTTGTTAATCATAGCTTCTTCAGAGTCCATGGACATTGATAAACCATGTATAAGCCGTTTTGCCAACATTCTGGCATAGAACTACGGTTAGGAAAAAAACACAAGTTCAGATTTGCTTGCATTTCAAAAGTATTCTCCAAGGGGAAAAATAAAAGCAAAGTAATTTATATGATTATTTACCTTTTGAAAAACATCTTTGTCATCAATGTACTTGAAAACTGTAATAAAGCTTGCAAGTTTGTCTTCCACTTCATTTTCTGTCATGCCTTTTGCTGATTTTTTTAGCAAATTGTCACAATATTTGGCCAGCTCAAGTTGCAAGAAAAAGAATAGTCATTAAAGCAAACAGCAATAAAGCATAATGACAACTAATAGATAAGCAACTTCAGTTAAAAGCAAACACATGTAGTGTAATGAAGACATCTAAGTTAAAGGAAATAACCTTTATATATTTGTTCTTTAGTTTTACATGCCACTTCACTTGCAAACAGACTCTTAAGGAATCATAATCAGACCACAGTACTTCCAGAAAAGCCAAGTTTTAATGGCTTTACTAAATCCCACAGGACTGGTGTTGACCTGATCTCAAGTGGGCTGCTTTTGCACAGAAAGAGGACAGTGATGGAAAAGACCTGTGTTCATGGTCCCTTACGGAAATACTTTTTTAGAAAGAGGACCTAAATTCTCCACTTCAGACCTTGTTGGATGGGCAGTTACTGTTGGAAGCAGGTAATTGCAAAGGTATCTGGGTCCTGAACTTTGTGGGGCTTTAAAGTGACAACCAGAACCTTGATTTGTACCCTGAAGCCATCTGGTATTGCAGTACAATTCCTGCAATACAACTGTTATCTAGGCAAACTGAGATACACCCATAACATCTCTGGCCAATTTTCTGTAAGTTTTTGTTATTTGCCTTCAGAAAACTATTCAAAATATTATATGGCATTCTACACTTACAATTGAGCACATAAATCTAGTATTTGATACTTACCAGCTCAGGAGCTTTGCAAATAGACTTTGGTTCCCTATAGTTCACTACTGATGTTAAAGCCTATTTAGGAATGCAAGAAAAATAACTTTTACAAGTTGTGCTAATGTAACAACACATGTGTAAGCAATATCAATAAATTCTAAAATGCTTCCTGACAGGGGAGAAATGGGGTTTTCCATGCTTCCTGACATGGAGAAGCTGGGATTAGGATGTTGGACTAGGACTGGAGAGATCCATCTTCAAGGTTCAATATACCTAATTATAGAATTTCACTTGATGACTCTGAATCAATCACTACTTTTCAGTTCACTCTCTCCCCCACTTCTGTAGTGTAGTTTACAATGATGGCATAGACAGCAATGTATGTATTAATTGCTTATTGAATTTTAACACTGCAATGTGATTTCTAAAACTGACTTGACAATATATCATTTTACAATAGTTTTTAGTAAGATAAACAGTGGACTAGGTTATAGGGCATTAATTACACCAGTGCATGGATTAGGACAAGACGCATGATATCCCCTTGTTTAATTTACTTATGGATAAATGCAGTGGCAGTAGAGGTTGCATGGGTCTGGTACAGGAATACATGTACTTTTGTATGCAGATGATGCTGTGCTATTGAATGTGAAGTCCAATGATTTGCAGCAATTGTTAGATTGCATGATAAAGGATATGGATCTGAAAATTAACATAAGGGCAAACTGGAATAAATGACTGCAAGTTATATATGAATGAGGAAAAACTAAAGTGGATGAATTTGTCAGCCTTCCAGCTGGCAAAACAGAAATTTTCGCCAACTGGAAGGTGTGTGTGTGTGTGAGAGAGAGAGAGAGACAGAGACAGAGAGAGGGGGGAGAAAGAAAGAGAAAGAGCAAGAGAGAAAGAAAGAGAAAGGAAGGAAGGGAGAGAGAGAGAAAAAGAGAGACAAAGATAGAAAGAGAAAGAGAGAAAGAAAAAGAGAAAGAAGGAAAGAGAAAGAAAGAAAGTGGTAGAGAGACACAAGAAAGAAAGAAAGAAAGAAAGAAAGAAAGAAAGAAAGAAAGAAAGAAAGAAAGAAAGAAAGAAAGAAAGAAAACTTATGACCACAATTGAGCCCAACATTTTGATTGCTAAGCAAGAGTGTTGTTAAGTGAGTTTCACCACATTTTACAAGTTGGCCACGCCCACCCAGTCACATGACTGCCAACCACACCCACAAAATAGGCCACACACACAGAATAGGTAGTAAAAAAAATTGAAGCCCACCCCTGTGTCCCTACAGATAAGTGACTTCTTTTTCATCCTGTGACTAGTTATTGCCTAATTGCTTCCTTGATGGGCTGGAAAGTTTAACATTTATTGTTTCCTATATGGTAGTGCAGTTTCCAACATTGCTAAATCTCTCAACCAATATTCAGAGGAATGTTTTTCAAAGTTGGCAACTTTAAGATGTGTGGACTTCAACCCCCAGAATTCCCCAGATACTGTGCCTGCACATCTTAAAATTGTCAAGTTTAAAAAACAGTGTAGTGACGGCAATATGGGGTCTGTTGTAAGGAATGAAAGATTGTCAAAAAAAAAGGAAAAATGGCAGCTTAATTCTTCCCACTTTCTAATCTGGAGGTAGGAGTTGGAAACAACAGAGAGAGAGAGAAATGAAACAATGCAGGAAGAATGAGTTAGGAAATATGTGTTGTAAAACAAGATATAGGGTCTAGAACAGGGGGTCTCCAAACTTGGCAACTTAAGACTTGTGGACTTCAATTCCCCATGCTGGCTGGGGAATTCTGGAAGTTGAAGTCCATAAGTCTTAAATTGCCAAGTTTGGAGACCCCTGGTCTAGGATGAAAGAGTGCTGCATGAAAACCAAAGAGAGAATGAATGAAAAGGATTTGAATTACAAAACAAACATATGGAAGGAAAAAAATATGGGTTAAGAGGAAAGAGAAGATAGACAACATTGTGACTGGATGGAGTTGCAGAGATCCTCCAGGACAGCTGATAAATTTAAAGATTGCTCCTCCTTAAAGAAGCGATACTGTTCCCCAACCTGTAGGACATTCATGCAGTTCCAGGAAAATACCCATTTGGGTTAAAGGAGACAGTGACACTGTGCCAAGGGATTGTGAATGAAATGAAGTATACTAAAGTACCGTACATTTCTTTTTCTTATCTCATGACCTCAGGTTTTTTTGCTTTACTATTTCTTACTCCTTTTCTAAGTTTTGCATTACACTGCTTAACCAGAAAAGGATTAAGAAGGGAGGTGCATAAAATGACAGAAATGTAAGTCATAATAACAAGGCCCCATTTCACTATTGCTGTTTGGGATTGCCATTCAATGGACAAGTTAATCATCCTCACAAATTAAGGGTCGCCTCAAGGCATTTTTAAGAGACCCACTCAAATCAAAGGGATTTGGCATGAGTAATCAAAAAGGGTAAAGTCTGTTTCAACTCAAGGTTGAGGACTTAGTAAAACCACCCATGTAGTCTTTTCGACAACAATGGTGTCTGGGACATTTAGGCGCCACTCCTTGGTTGCGCCCCCTTGGCTCCCAGACACTCGCCTCAGCCTATTCACAGCCAGCTTAACTCCTTCGCTGACCCTCCTCTGGCCATTGTTTGGTTGCTGCCCCCCCCCCCCCCCCCCCCCCCCCCCCGGGCCTTTTTTTTGTGCCCCCCCCCCCCCCCCCCCGGGTGCCATCACTGCTGTCCTCCACCTGATTGGCAGTTTTTTGTCCCATGGAGTCAAGCCCCTGGGACAAACAGTACCTGAGGGAAAGAGCCAGGGCAGAGGGCCATTGGCGGTGGACAATGGCCAGGGGAGGGCCAGTGCAGGAGGAAAGCTGGCTGTGAATCAGCTAAGGCGGGTGGCTGGGGACGAAGGAGGCACAGCCAAGGAGCGGTGCCTAAATGGCCCATTCCGTCACAATGTGAAAGGGATTTGACACTGCTCCTTCTAAGATGGTTTTTTTACAACACCTCAGTCTCACCAACCAGTCTGGCATTCCATGGTGGTTTTCCATCCAAATACCAGAGGCAACCCTGCTTAGCTCCCAAACAGCACTAATTTCCATGGGTTTGCTCTAAACGTATTCACCTCTAGCTGCAACCCTATCTTTTTCCAATATTTGGTCTATGTAGCATTTTCATTAGGCTCACCTTGTCAAGGGCACTCATAAATCTCTGGTCACCATTCAAAACAGTATTAATGAGCTGAACAAATTTACTGTGTACCTCCAACACTGATTCTACAAATTGAGTGGGCATCTGAAGACAAAATCAGACAGAATAACAAGAACAGGCAGTTCTGTAACAATTCATAGGGAAAGAAAAATGAATACTGTTTAAACTCATACCCTATTAAAGTATGAATCTGTAAAAGAATATAATTCTCAAAATGTTTTCTATCACCATTTTACAATGCTATTAACCAGGTTCTTACATTTTATTATATCTATCATCTCCTACATAGTGCATTCCAGATGTGTTAGAAGTCAGTTACCTTAACTCCCAGTTCATATAATCTTCAAGTTCAAATTCAATTCATTTGAAGTGAAGGATGATGGTTATTATTGCTAAGAAAAATTGCCTGAATTTGATAAATGGGTTGATAGTGCTTCAAGGAAAAAAAGAACAAGCTGAAAAATTAGGTCAGGTCCTTCCTACTAACTGACATTTCTTCCTCTGTTAATCTATTGGGGGCTCCTGGCTCTGCTTTCTGATGTTTCCTAGGCAACATATCTTCCCCTCATTCCACAAGGCTATCTATACATTCCATTACATGTACAGAAACTTTTTTTCCACTGAAGACAAAAAAACTTACATTTTCCTGAGAAAGATTGCTGGTTGATCTAAGGCCCTCATCATGGATATGGTTTTGCAGTTCCTGAATCATATGAGGTAAGCCACTTGGCACGGCATGAAGCAGTGTGTACATGTTTGCCATATCTGCATAAAGAAAGAACTTGATTTTCAGGATATACACTATGTGCACAATTATTAGGCAAGTTGTATTTTGGAGCATTAATTTTATTATTGAACATCTACAGTGCTCTCGATCAATCCAAAATGTTAATAAACCTCAAATCTGAACATTTAAGAAAGTAAAAGTGAGGTTTTGGCTTTCTTAGGAGAATATCTATGTGTGCACAATTATTGGGCAACTCTTAGTGTGCAGAATTATTATGCAACTAAATGAAAAATGAAATTTTTCCCATCTCACTCATTTATTTGCATCTGTTAAAAGTGAGAATAATAAACAACTCAAACTGTATAAATAAACATTTCTGACATTTCAAACAAAAAAATCAGTGACCAATATAGCCAACCTTCTTGTCAATAACAGTCATAAGCCTTCCATTCATGGAGTCTGTCAGTTTCTTGATCTGTTGATGATCAACTTGATGAGGCAACCACAGCCTCCCTGACACTGTTCAGAGAAGTGTATTGTTTTCCTTCATCATAAATCTCTTGTTTAAGAAGAGCCCACATGTTCTCAATAGGGTTTAGGTTAGGTGAGGAGGGGAGCCATGTCATTATTCTGTCATCTTTAAGGCCTTTACTGGCTAGCCACACAGTGGAGTACTTTGATGCATGCAATGGAGCATTGTCCTGCATAAAAATCATGGTGGTCTTGAAAGATGCAGACCTTTTCCTGTACCACTGCTTGTAGAAAGTGTCTTCTAAAAACTGGCAGTAGGTTTGGGAGTTGATTTTGAGTCCATTTTTAACCCGAAAAGGTCCATCTTTAATAATATCAGCCCATACCAGTACCCCACCTCCACCTTGCTGGCGTCTGAGTAGAAGTGGAGCTCTGTGCCAGTGGTGGGATACGACCACTACACCCCGGTATGGGCATACCGGTGCCTGCTGGGAGCACCAGGTACCGTTCCGGTACGGTGCTCCGGAGGGCCCACCCGCCCTACCTGCATTTGAGCCGATCGGGGCTTACGGGCACGCAGCGTACGGCCCCTTCACAACGCTCCACTGAGCAGCTAGAGCGTTGCAGTGTTGCGGAGCATTGTGGGCGGTAAGTATGTATGTGCGCGCTGCATGCGTGCTGCACACATGTATGTGGTGGACGCCCAGCCCCGTTGCACCGTACTGGTTGCACCGGATGCGGAACCCACCACTGCTCTGTGCCTAATACTCCAGCCACAGGTCCATCCATCTGGTTCATCAAGAGTCACTCTCATCTCATCACGCCATAAAACCTTTGAAAAATCTGTCTTCAGATATTTCTTGGCCCAGTCTTGCCATTTCAACTTATGTGCCTTGTTCAGTGGTGGTCGGATTTCAGTCTTCCTTACCTTGGCCATGTCTCTGAGCACTGAATACCTTGTACTTCTGGTCACTCCAGGTAGGTTGCAGTTCTGGAATATGGCAGCACTGGAGGATAATGGATTCCTGGTAGCTTCATGTTTGATTCTTTTCTAAATCTTTGGCAGTTAATGTGCGTCTTTTTTTCTCAACACATTTCTTGCTACCCTGTTGACTATTTGCAACAAATATTTTGATGGTTCTGTGATCACGCCCCAATATCTTAGCAATTTCAAGAGTGCTGCATCCCTCTGAAAGACATTTTACAATTTTTGACCATTCAGAGTCAGTTAAATCTCTTTTTTGGCCAATTTTGCCTAAGGAAAAGAAGCTGCCTAATAATTATGCACAACTTCATATAGGGCCATGATAGCAATAGCAGTTAGACTTATATACCGCTTCATAGGGCTTTCAGCCCTCTCTAAGCGGTTTACAGAGTCAGCATATTGCCCCCAACAACAATCTGGGTTCTCATTTTACCCACCTCGGAAGAATGGAAGGCTGAGTCAACCCTGAGCCGGTGAGATTTGAACAGCCGAACTGCAGAACTGCTGCATTTAACCACTGCGCCACCTCGGCTCATGATGGTGTACCTATGGCACACGTGCCACAGGTGGCACGCAGAGCCCTCTCTGTGGGCATGCGAGCTGTCGCCCCAGCTCATCTCCATCACGCATGTGCGCACACCTCCCGCCAGCCAGCTGATTTTCAGGTCTCTGCTGCGCATGTGCGGGGGCGCGTGTGGGATATGCATGTGCATGCGCAGGGGGTCGTTCACGCATGTGTGGGGGCAGGGGAAAGCACAGGGAGGTGCGCCCCCCCCTGGCCTGGTTTTTGTCCCAGGAGCCTGCAGGGAGGCTTACTAGGCCCAAAATGGGGCGCAGTGGGGGTAGCACATGCATGCGCAGGGGGGGCGGGGTGTGTGTCGTGCACACATTGCATTATGGGTGCAGGGGCGCTGACGCACTTTTGGCACGCAACGACAAAAAGGTTAGCCATCACTGATATAGGGTGTTGGTCTCCTTAGGCCACACCCTCCCTCATTACAGAAATACACATCACCTGATATGCTTATATCCACTAAGCATTCAAGTTTATACAGCTTGGAGGTGGAAAATATGCATAAAAATTATGATATGGTCAAAATACTCACTTGCCTAATAATTGTACACACAGTGTATACTATTGCAAAAATCACTACTTTCAAATGCTAATATATAAACAACAGGAGAGAGTGAGACTGTGTGTTGACATTTGCAGGTCAGTTTAAGACAGGAAATCTGCTTTATAAAATCACAATGCATAGGCAGTTCTTGGCTTATGTCATTGGGTAAACAGACCAGGTATGGAAACTGCTTAGCATGGGATATGGCAGAATCATAAATTAGCTTTAAACCAATAAATAAAAGGATAAGAAAGGTGAATACAGCTTTGATGAAACTCTTGGTTCTAATCCACATTTACTCCATATTTTAAATAGCCTAACAAACTAATGGCCATCCCTACTATGCAGAATGGTTATTCACTTGGTAAGAAGCAAAGTATTTTCCAATTTTTATCCCACAGGACACCTTTACCATTTATCTTCTCTTGTCTGATGATGTTATGACATTCTGCATGAAGAAATTGTAAATGGTCTGCTACCATTCGTTGTTGGCATTCATTGATTACTTTGCTGTAGGAACTGGGGTGTAGATATTTTCGACATCTCATTTCTTCATTTTTTAGTCTACATAAAACCTAAAAGTATTTTTCCACATTAACAGTATAATCAAATACTACATGACAATAAAAGTAAAAGGAATATATATTTTCAAGTTATCATGACCAATTCAAGACTGAGGTGAATGTAAAGAATTCATTTTTCAAACTACACACTCTAAAAAGCCTAATTCCATTATTTGTGACATTATGCAATAAGAAAGCAAAAACATTCAAGGAAAAAAAGTGGAAAAAGTGGATTGGGGTGACCTGTAAGATCAAATAATAATTTACAATTATTAAATGGAATTTAATAAAGGACAAACAACATAAATAAGGCTACAATGTTGTCATGGAAGTTTTGCAAATAAATATCCTGAAGATTTCAATTTCAAAACATTTTTCAGGATTGTCCCCTATTAGGATCTTTTAGACACTTATTGGTTGCTGGCTTACTAGAGCATGGTTTAACAAGCAAGGAAACAATGCAGGACACTCCAAATTCCCATACTAACATTGGTTATCCTGACTAGTGTCAACTATAATTCTGTACTACATTTGATTAATGCCTTAACCCATCTTCACACTTATGGCACCATTCCAAACATTTACACCTTGCTATTTGTTTGTTTTTTAAATACACAAAGTGGTTAAGAAAACTGACAAAATATTAGTAAAAATATGTATCAGAATAGTAACAAGAACAACACATCAAGTCCTGGTCACGTCCTGTGTGGGTTACTGTAATGCGATGTACGTGGGGCTGCCTTTAAAGAGTAACTGGAAGTTTCATCTGGTGCAAAATGTGGTGGTGCGGGTACTTATTTGTCCACATAGTGCATGTTACACCTCTACTCCATGAGTTGCATTGGCTACCAATTTGCTTCCGGGTTTAATTCAAGGTGTGATCACCTAAAAAGCTCTATATGGCATGGGACCATGGTATTTAAGGGATCAACTCTCCCGTATTAAACCTACCCATTGCATCAGATAAACAGAAATGGCATGCTGCAATACAGCTCCTGCCCATGAAGGAATGTCATTTGGTAGAACCCAAAAGGAGACCTTTTCTGCTGCAGCACTTTTCTGTGTTATCTTCCCTGAGGTGAGACTAGCTCCAACCTTGCTGGCTTTCCATAAGAGCCTGATTACATGGCTTTTGAATGTTGTCTGGGGATCCAGTTACTGTATATTGGTGGAAAGCCACTTATATTGTTAAGAAAATGAATGGTGTTCTCCTGCAGATTGTGTTTTTTTAAATAGTTTTGATTGTTTTAATTATTTTTGTGACTATTTTGTTGTCTTAGAATGCTTTTTTGGATTGTTGTGTTTTGGTTGAGATGGGAGGTTGTACAAATTTAATAAAAAAATAAAGCAAATATATAAGTCAGTATCAGTGGGCGAGATCATTCAACGGCACGGGATAAAATACCATCAATACGCGGACGATACCCAGTTGTATCTGTCCGCCCCGTGCCAACTCAGTGAAGCGGTTGACGTGATGTGCCAGTGCCTGGAGGCTGTCAGGATCTGGATGGGGGTCAACAAGCTTGCACTCAATCCAGACAAGACCGAGTGGCTGTTGTGTTTCCCTCCCAAAAATTTGGTTAGTAGTCCATCACTCAGGCTGGGGGGTGAAATTTTACGCCCCTCAGACAGGGTTCACAATTTGGGAGTCCTCCTGAACCCACAGCTGACCTTAGAACATCATTTGTCGGCTGTGACCAGGGGGGCATTTGCCCAGGTTCGCCTAGTGCACCAATTGCGTCCCTACCTGAACCGGGAGGCACTCGCAACAGTCACTCATGCCCTCATGACCTCAAGACTGGGCTACTGCAATGCGCTCTACATGGGGCAGCCCTTGAAGAGCATTCGGAGACTTCAGCTCGTCCAGAATGCAGCCGTGCGAGTGATTGTGGGTGCACCTCGGTACACCCATGTTACACCTATCCTCCGCGAGCTGCACTGGTTACCGATTGGTCTCCGGATACGCTTCAAGGTGCTAGTCATCACTTATAAAGCCCTTCATGGTATTGGACCTGCCTGGGTACTTGAGAGACCGCCTGCTGCCAATTACCTCCCAAAGACCCATTAGATCACACAGGGTTGGCCTCCTCCGGGTTCCGTCTACCAGCCAATGCCATCTGGCTACTACCCGGGGGAGGGCCTTCTCTGTGGCAGCGCCGGCCCTTTGGAACGAACTCCCCGCCGAGATTCGGACCCTCACCTCTCTCCAGGCCTTCCGAAAAGCCGTTAAAACCTGGCTGTGTCGGCAGGCCTGGGGTTGATGAGTTCCCTTCCCCTTTCGATTGTGTGTCTGTTGGTTATTTTAAATGCTTGTATTTGTAGTTCTTGTGTTTCCCTTCCCCTCTTGGGTTTGTGAGCCGCCCTGAGTCCCACTGGGAATAGGGCGGCATATAAATAAAACGAAACCTGAAACCTGACTAAAAAGTAGACAATCAAATATAATGTTTGGCAGAAGAGCAGAAAGTCAAGTCAAATCAACTATTACCGGAGACTACGTAAACCCATATAAATTTAAGAGTGCAACAGGTGAGTTTTCCAGGAAAAACGAAAGAAAATCCTATTGTTTATACTGAAAAGACAATACAATCATTCAAAACCAGGGAACAAATATTGATCTGAACAAAGTATACAGTATTTAAAACTGGATGCCTTTTATTTCTCTAAGCATCTTATTCAATCTAATTTAGAGTGTTGATTTATGACACAGAGCATAACTTACAGCTCATATCACAGAGTAATTATGAAAACTGACTACAGCTGAAAAAATAAAAAGACAATAACAACTTTCAAAACAAGAGCAAACGCTTCCTCCAATTTAGCCTGCACATGATTTTGGATGTACAGGTCATCCTCGCTTATTGACCACTCATTCAGTAACTGTTCAAAATTATGACAGTGCTTACAACTGGTCCTCAAAGTTGCATCTGTTTCACCATCCCTAAGGTCATGTGATTGTGATTCAGGCACTTGGCAACCGGCATGCATTTAGACAGTCACAATTTCCTCCATGATCACCTTTTGTGACCTTCACAGCTGGCTTCCAACAAAGTCAATGGGGAAGCTGGCAGGAAGTCACAAATCATGGTCACCCATGCTTAACAACCCACGGTCATTTACTTAACAACTGAAGCTGGAACTGACATTGTTAAGTCAGCATGGTCATGAAACATCACGCTTAACAACCATGCTGCTTAGTGATGGAGTTGCCAGTCTCTATTGCAGCCTGTGAGGACTACCTGCATGTACCGTATTTTTGGAGTATAAGATGCTCCAAAGTATAAGACGCACCTAGCTTTGGGGGAGGAAAACAAGGGGAAAAAATCTGCCTCTGCCTCCCAGCAATTTGCCTCCTTGCAACAAACAGCAAACAGTACAGACAATATACACTGTGCATGTGTGCCTGACCCATAGAAATAGCAAAGAATTGGAGAAATGTACATTATGGCAGTATATTAATGCCAGAAAGTTTTCTTAAATGTAGTCACACTAACTCCTCCCAATTATTTAAATAGAACTACTCCAAACATGACTAAGTCAGGATCTAATTAACAAGGACACTGTTACATTTCAGACTATACTTGTACAGAAGCTGTTAAAATTGATGTGGCTTTCTGGAAGTATACGTTATTCTCTGCTATTTAAAAGAAGATACAATAGCACTGGGCCTCTTATTTTAAAAAGCTTCATTTTGTTAAGTTGTCTAGAACAATAATAAAGCAGTCTTTAAAAAATAAGTCTAATAATTTGAACATTCTATAAGCATTTATAGTTGACTTACCTCCTTGCAGCAAAAAGCCTTATTAGCACAAGAAAAAAAATCTGCCTCCCAGCAATTTGCCTCCTGCAGCAAACAGCAAGTTTCACTTTCAATTTCAGCAGGGGCCTCCCGATCATCAGCTGTTTCAGGCTGCAGGGACTGCCCTAGCCTATTGCCGCCTCAGCAAGTCCCATTTTCCCCATTTGCTGCAAAGAGGTAAATTGCTGGGAGGCAGAGGCCAAAAGGTGGGAGGCGGTGGATGGGTGGGGCTACATTCAGTGTATAAGACGCACACAAATTTTCACCCTCTTTTAGGGGGGAAAAGGTGCATCTTATACTCTGAAAAATACGGTATATGAATCCCTTGAAAATGCTCTTTAAATGCATCATGAGGTCTTATGTTAGCAAAGTGGAATTTTGACTTTATTTCCCTCATAACACTGACAACTCCTACACTATAAGCTGCTCCTGAAACTCTTGAAAAGCAGTTTGTTCCAAAATACATGGAACAATGAATAAATATGATAATCTTACCTTTCCCATATACTGTGAACAGTTTGATTCTTGCATTAAATTTGAAGCTTCTTGTTTATAATATTCCCCTGTTTCATTCAGAAAAGGACTCTCGAAAATTTCCTGGTAAAACTAATTTGAGAAAGTCTGATCAAGCACAAATAAGATAAGGCATGGAACAAATATTTTTCAGTTTCCCAAGAGAGAAATAAAACTTTTTACCTTCAGAGGCATTTTTTTCTTATACTGTTCAACATGAACAAAGGAGTTAATAACCCCATGGATTACTTTCTGATTTGGATCTTCTCCACAACGATCACTGAAAGATGGAAAAATAAAACTCTCAAAATTTATACTATTTATCACTGTCTAAACCAGTGTTTCTCAACCTCAGCAACACTGAAATGTGTGGACTCCAACTCCCAGAATTCCCCATACAAAAATCGACACATGCCAACATTTTAGAGATTGAGAAACACTGGTCTAAACTTTAAAACCAACTATCCAATGATAAAGCTCCTGTTCACAGAAACAAGCTGAAGAAGTTTACACTCTCTGTAATCTATTTTTTTTAAAAAAAACCTATATGTTTATATAAAAGACCTGAAGAAAATTGGTACTTATTTTGCAAATGAAGTAACTCACCCAATTTTTTCTCCACATACCGTATTTTCACGACTATAAGCCGCACTGAAAATCCTAAAATTTGATCAAAAACCGGCAGTGCGGCTTATAACCCGGTGTGCTTTATATGTGAAAAAAGATCAAAAATCTCTCCCTCCCGACGCTCAAACTTGAAGCTCGCAAGCATGCACACGTCCCTCGGGTCTCTCCCTTCAACCTCGCTACTTTCTGAGTCGGAGACCGGGGGGCGAGCAGAGAGCCACCCAGCTCCCAGCCCCTATAGACTGGGCTGTTCCGTCACCCCCGCCGCCGCAAGAAGGGACGGCAGACCGGCGCAGCCCTTCAGGATTTGCCGGCGCCGAGCACCCCATCCGCCCCGGCAGTCGCCCTGCCTAACTCCGCTCCGCGCCCCAGCCGGCTCTGTGCTGCCGGTCAAGGGTGCGCGGGTGGCCGGTGTGGCGCCGGTCTTCCCAGCACACCACGCCGGCCGGGCAAGAGCCGGGAGAGCAGCGGAGCCCGAAGCCTCCCGCGCCAGAAACGTCCCGCTAGCCGACGCCTGCCACGTGCGCCCACCCGCCCGCCTCGGGGACCGCAACCCGGGCGCCCTGCCCGCCCCCGTCCCCCCCGGCCTGGCTCACCGATGCGGATGGCATGGGGCATGCCGCAGCAGGCGTGCAGCCAGGGGACTCCTCGCAGGGCGGCGGCGGCAGCGGAGGCGCAGGAGCGGGCCAGTGGCAGGCGTGGGGCATGGCAGTAGGTCAGCATCCTGGGCGGGCGGGCGGCGGGCAAGGCGCGGGAGGCGGAGAGGACAGAGCGACTGGAGCGCCGCCGCCGCCCGGTTCGGCTTCCCTGGCCGCGGCGCCCCAGGCCCCCGCGCTGGCGATCTCCCGGGGTGGCGAGGCTGCGCGGGGCCGCTCAGCGGAGGAAGGCGGCCGCCTGGCGGGAGAGGCTCGGCCGAAAGGTGCCGGGGCTGGAGCCGCAGAGTCAGACATGCCTTCCGCCCGGGAAGTCCTGCCCCTTCATCCCCGAAGGCCGGCGCGCGGTGAGGGGGGCCGGCGTGGAGGCGAAAGTACTTTGCACATGCTCCACGGTCGCCGCGCTCTCCGTCCCAGCCTTCGCCGAAGCCGGCGGGCTGCCTCCCAAAGAAGCCGCCGGAGCGTCCCAAGCCAGAAAATGCCCCAACTCGGGCAGACGGAGTTCCAGTAGCAACCTGCGCACGTGATTCGATGAGGAACCAAGGGGAGCCGGGTCTCTGAGCGCGGCTTATAACCCGGTGCGCTTTATATGTGAAAAAAGTTTAAAAAATTAACATTAACTGATACTGCGGCTTATAATCCGGTGCGGCTTATGGTCGTGAAAATACGGTACTACAGTAATTATAAAATAGTAATAAGTAGGTAATGTTTAAAGATGGGGAAATTCTACAAGTATTTAGGCAAACATTAAGTGTCTCTGATAAATCTCTGATAAAGCTAAAACCATGCTAGGGGGAGAGATACTTTCTTTATTCTATCTTAGACTTCACCATATGAGGTGTGAGTCAGTGTTGGGTTGCCAATTTTTTTTACTACCGGTTCGGGCGTGCTCCCATGCAAGCTTGGACACGCTCCCGCATGCGTAACATTTCTGTGCATGTGCACAAACGTCCGATCAGGTGGGCGGAGCCTCCCACTGCCGCTACTACCGGTTCTCCCGATCCAGGCCGAACCGGGAGCAACCCACCTCTGGTGTGAGTGTGGGGAGAGCAAGAGTTTGAGTTCAGTACATCCAACGCTCAACAACTTAAAACCCTCTCCAAAATTGGAATAATCCTAATCATAATTGAGAGAAATAAATTTCAGTTATTCATGTAAAAAAGGAATGAACCTGACAGACTCCATTTTGAATAGACTCCATTTTACATTTTAGCTACAGCTAAATATTATTCAAGCATTTTATTATTTAGCTTAGCATTTTTATTTAGCTAGAGATAGCACTTTTAAGGTCACTTTGACTTTTGTAACAATTAGCAAAACTATTAGGGGCTTTCCAGCTGGGGAAGTTGAGCTAAGGGGAACTTGGATAAACCAGAGGATGTTGGTCGTCAGATTTGTTCTCAAGAGCCTGATATGGGTTGATTAATTGTCTTGTTACTGTCATGTAACGGGAATTTATATTGTCATATAACGGGAACTGAAATCATGTTATGTATGGGAATAGGAACTGAAATTATGGGGGCGTTCTGTTAAGGGGATGTTTTCAGGAAGCCACGGATGGAGTAATAGCCAAGTACAATTATATAACTGTATTATGAAACACCTTTATGTAATCAATGACACCCACAAATAATGTATTTAAACCCTGTGTTTAGCCTTAATGATCATTCTCTTTCACTTCCTGATTGAGAATCCTCTTGCGCAAGAGTAAATAGATGCTTGTTGTTGCTCATAGTCTCCTTGACCGTTTCTTTAATATATAGAAAATATATACAATATATATTTTTCTCACAAGAATTATGCATATATATTCAGATGTTACCTTAACAGCGCTTAGGTCCTTGGTTAGGACTTGAACTGTTAAGTTTTTACCTGTTCCAGACTGTGAATCGAATTGCAGATTAAAATTTAAATAATCCCACCTTGACGTGGTTGTGGGATTTGTGTGCTCTGAGGAAGATGAGTGCTATGCCAGAGGATCAACCATGCAGGACATATCTCATCAGAGGAGCAGGACAAAGAGTGTCTCCTCTGTCAAAAATATGGTGCCCCTGTGTTCTCAGCCCCTGCCATCCAACCTGGTCCTCCAGTTACGCCGCACACTTCGCAAGCAAAGACAGACGGTGGGATGGATCAAGTGCCTCCCCACCACGCAGGCTGCAGGTGCTTCTGGACACTGTCTGGCCCCACGTGCTCACCACCTCCTATGCTGGCCATGCCCACCGCCCCACACCCCCGCTGATGCTGATGAATTACATCTTATTTTGGGGGTAAGGTTTATATTGTGAGCAGCATGAAAAATCATAATAGGTCTTATTTTTGGGGTAGGTTGTATTTTCAGAAAAACATGGTAACAAGGATGCAGTTTGGTTACAGGAGATGGAGAAGAATAAAGAAGAAGGTGAAATGAAAGAACTAGTAAATAACAGCAGAAATGGTAGGGGGAAATGTCATGGTTGATTTGTTACACAGCCCTGCTCACAACTGTAAGTGTGAAGTGCAAGTGTGAAGCTTGGAAGTGTGAGACAGACCCAAACCCCAAGGTCATCGCTTGGAAATGTCTGAGGCAGACAGGCTGTTTCCAAAATAAAGCAAGTGCAACTGATTGGTGGACAATGGAAGGGAGGTGAGTTTTCCTATGCTGTTTGCACACAAAAACGTCAGTACCCATATGGTTTTTCACTAAAGTTATACGCTTGGAGAGAAAAAAATGTCCCAGGCATTTCTTTTGCTGTTTAATGCAGTGGGACGGTTGACAAACAAGGAAGATCAAGACTTGGTCAGCACCAGGTGAAGATGAACTGCATGCTTTTTGGTTGAAACATCTGACTGGTCTATACCGACTTGCTGCCAATCAGCAACATACTGCAAGGAGGTGAAGTTGAAGAGTGGCTAACGTGGCAAAACCCACCTGATAATGAAAGATCCAGCAAAAGGGATAGCAGCAGGCAACAAGAGGCCAATTACTTGCTTACAACAACCGCAACACCAGAGAAGGTGCTGTCGGGTGTGAGTCCCTTCTGGTGAAGTTGGACCTTGGGGGTCAAGTGGGTTTGTTTCTAACNCCCCCCCCCAACTTCCAAAAAAGGTTGCTCCTCTTTATAACAGAAAATCCTAGGATTGTGAACTAGCCTGGAAAGTTTAAAAAAACATTCATAAGTGGCAATGGCAAACTACACTCACTCTATTGCAAAGAAATGTGTGTAAATATTTATATGGAGTCTCAAAATATTAAGCTCAATGCAAATAAAATTTTACTAACTTAACTCTGACTCTGACTTTTTTAAAAAAAATATATAGTTACATTCCAAAATTATGTTTGTTCTCTGATGAATATATTTTCATTTTAATTCATGCGATTTAAGCTCACAGACCAAAATATAGAAAAGAAAAGAAAAGAAGAAGCAAAGAAAATAAAAAGTAGGAATTTTTTATTTCTTTGATTGGTTTAAAAGTAGAATAAATGGGGGGAGGGAGACAGAAAAATAGCTGTGATTTTTCTCCATTGGCAAATTATTTCACATACTGAATCAGAATTTGGTTTCTGATTCTAAAGGCAGAAAAATAGAATTTGGCCACTGCTCATCTGATTCATTGCTCATCCAGATGTAGTTGACTATAAAAAAGTTTGTGTGTCCTTAGAGGTCTGCTAAAAGATGCATGATCTTCCTGGTCCTAATATTTTTGTAGAAAGGCAATATAAAATAAATGTAGATTGTCAGCAAAACATCAGAAAATCTATAAAGAAGAATATTTATAACTTAAGGTTGAAATGAGAGGCCTTTGGTGTTCTCTCAACTTGGTTCTTTTCTTGCCGACAATTCACTACCCAAAGTCGGTAAAATTGCCAATGCTGGAAGGGCCTTTTAAATTTTAATTATTGATATATACAGTATTTCCACATAAAAGATTTGTTTAGACATCATGTTTAGATAAGGAGGCGAAGCTAGTTTGCCATTCTATATCCTATATACATGTGTTTATCATTTTGACTACTTGA